GGGGAAATTTAGGGACTGGCGTTCTTCAGAAACAGCACTCGTAGCACTCAGTGGAAGGTTTAGATGTATCAGACAATGCTCTGACAGATCATCCAACAGCTCTGCAGAGTCTAGGAAGTACAAACTTTAATAATTGGTCATCCTGCCAGACCTACAAAACCCCTGGTCTTCAGTTAACAAATTGAAAAAATATGCAGGCACAAACACATCACATCTCCCACTCTTAGGCGAGCTATTCCTGCACATGCAGGGCTTTGCACTTTTGTTTCATGGAAAAGGAGTGCTTTTTCGTATGCTGTGTAAAAATGTCAGTGTGATAATTCAGTTTGGTGGTCAACAGATAACTTACGATCTTCATTAATATGTCACCTTAAAAGAAATAAATCTCCAAACTCCCTTGCTCAGCATTTTGCAGGGAGATGAATGTAGTCTGGTACAATGGGGGCTGATTTCTCAGCATGATTGTATCTTTCTTTGTATGGCTTGCACTTCAGATTTTTACCACAGCATCGGCAAAAGACCCAGGAAAATAAAACCCTGTAAACTCTTAGGTGACTGACCCAGTAACTCAAAATAAAGGAGTAGAGAAAGATTCCAGATGTTGGGAAGAACATTTCTGAGTTAGTATTTTATTCATCTATTCTGTAGGTGGTTAGATAAGCAACAATTGTTAAAATCACTCTAGAAAGAAAGGGACTGCATGTTCTCTTGTCTGTGCACTCAAAAACAAGTGCTTAATTTGTTCTTAGCTATTCTGCAAATGCATGTAATGGGTACTGCTCACTATAACGATAGACACGAGTTCTGTTTTTGTGCCGGTACTCACATTCTGGGGAGACATCTGCAAGCTCAGTCTATACCTCCAGGTGCTCAAGAGTTGCCTTCGCCTGTTATTTCCAGTGTCAGAACATAGAAACTGCCCAAGTCAAACTCATAAGCTTGTGCACCACGACCCGCATGGTGATAGTTTCCAGAAAAATCTCACTGTAAATTCTGTGTCTGGTGGTGCTTTCTGATCGCTGTATATTGGCTGACAAGCACAGCCCCTCTTCCAGCTGTTGATAATGATTTGTGCTGTGATGCTTCTACCTTGGGGACTTACTTGGTATTAATCTTCTATATATGCTCCATGCCTACCTATCCTACCTATGTTGTATAAGCATTGCTGCCTATATATAGTAATCTACAGAGCCTGTCAAGACTCATTAGGGAGAACTAATCTACTCAGCTGGGAAGGACTGATCTGTGCTTCATCTTGAAACCAGCAGGAGTCTTTCCATTGATTTAACAGGGCTTGGTTCAGACCTCCACCTTTTCTCCTGCATGTGAGCGAGTTGTTACTGATATGACTTAATCTTTTAAGATACATCCTTGTGTGTGAAAATTTTCAGGGATGACATTATTTTTCCTTGTCTAGGGGCAGCTTTTTGCTACTAGAAACAAATTAATTGCCTGAGTAACTGAGCGATGTTTTTCAAATAAAAGCTCAAAATTCTACAAACTGTGCAAACAGAAACTCTACAGTTTGCATGGAAAAAGACTCCAACATAAGACTGCTAGGCTGCTTGTTTGTGTGCTACCTGGCCCAGAGTCTGCTGGGCACTTCTGATCCAGCTTTGAGTGCTATTGCATAAACATGTAAGCAGAACTCCTTTTCCCCACTCTCCGTGCCTCCCCGTTCACAGCACCATGCAGTGCTGGATGCTGCAGGAAGTGAGGAGGCTTGGGCAAAGACCTTTCTCAACAGCAGAATGAATCAATAAGCTTTTTATGAAAATTAATTTGAAACTAACTGAATGAGAAAGAAATTAAAACTGGGGAAACCGAGCAAGGTGATAAGATGGAGCTGGAAGTAATCTGGTCCTGTTCAGTTGACCGGACCAGGGCAATGGCAGCCTGTCCCAGACTGGCTGGTGACCCTTGTCTGGCTGCTCCCTGCCAGGAGCAGCAGAGTTGTTAATTCATCTTCTGCTTGGTGGGCAGCTCTTCCCCCTCCAGTTTCTCTCACTGCTCATTTTGGCTTGGGCCTGGAAATTCTTGCTTCTTTTGCCACTCTGCCACACACCAGTTTAAGCTGGTGTTGGTTGTTACTGCGCTTTCAGCACTCTCTGGGCAGTCAGGACAGGAGATGTGTGCAGCTTGCTGGAGACTTGGTGGCTGGGAGGGATTTCCTCTCTAGCACAAGCCTGGCAGGCGTGCCTCCTGGGCCTGCTTAGTTCTGTCTCGCCTGATTCAAACAACAGGCTCTAGAGCATGGCTGAAATGACCACAGAACAGCACTCCACCAGCAGGCAAAGCCCGTCGCAGGGGAACATTTCTCCAGCAGTGTCAGGTCAGGAGTCCTGCTATTGTAGGTAGCAATCCTTTGCCACACAAATGAAGGAGAGAAAAACATAAAAGGAGTTTCTCTTTCTCTACTGCTGATTTTTTTTCTGAGCAAAGTGCTTTTGAACTGTAGAAAATACTTTCAGAAAGCTGAATAGCTCCTGCTTAGCATATCGGAAAACATTGAAATGGGGAATTTTTCCAGTAAGTTCCCTTTCTCACAGAGGATCATCTAACTTGCTCAGAGCACAGCATGCAAGGGAGCTTAAGAGAAGAGAAACCACATAAGCAAAATGTGAACTCCATATGTAGCTTTTCGTTAGAGAGCTTGGCATGAGACAGTCTTTCATGTGCAGAATGCAGCACTTGACTGTCTGATTTCCCATTGACTCCTTAGGTGTATTTCATAATGAAATCCCTGGCTCCTAGAAAGGATGTGGATGGTTCTCAAGTGAAAAGCAAGAAGCTAACGTTATTCCTGCTTGACAAGTGAGGGTTTTGAAGCACACCTTTGTGTGCTGGCTCTAACAAGCTAACTGAAGCCAGGTCCTGTGGGTGCAATCCCCCAGGACGTTCTGACCTTGCGGAAGTCATGTGTCTTCTCCTGAACAAGTCCCTTCTAGTCCCTAAAAACATATGTGTAAATATTCACCTGCCCCATACAATCTTTTGAGCAGCACGGGTTTTGATAGCCATAGCAGAGCACACTGTGGTTTGCTCACTTCTAGAAGTCACTGACTTTTGTTGCTGGCATTTGCATAAATGAGGCATCTGGTTCCAGGAGAGAAAATGCCAGCAGAATCTGGCCCTCCATACAGTGAGAAGTAATGCATTGAGCAGCTGATATTTTTCTAATTTAATTCTAATTTAAATAATATATTTACAGCTAGTGTATTTTCCTTTAAATGTTAACCTTTGCAGTGCTAGTGTCTCGCAGCAGCTGACAGTATACTTGTGGTCTGACAGGGACCAGCCAAACTGTAATTTCTAAAGATAAAGATCAGAGTAGGTAGTGTCATTTCATACTATCTTCGTTTCCCTAATCACTTTTGACTGAGTAATCTTGGTGGGGAAAAAAACAACAAACTTTAACTTCTAGAAAAGCTCTGTGTGAAATGACACCAGGGCTGTCTGCTAAGTTCAGAGGACAAGATTCGCATCCCTAGGGCCCGATGCTGCCTGCTCTGCAGGAGCCAAGAATTTCACTGACTGGGATGGACCGATCTCTTGCCTGGAAAGCGAACAGCTCATGCAGATTGGGACAGGGAAGCTACTAGCTCACCAGACAACCACAAAGCCTTTGGATTAAATGTTAAATAAAGAAAACTTTTATTGACAGAAAGTCGATCTTAAAATAAAATCTACTACAGCAATGCCATCAATACCTCACAAAGAGTAGCCAGTTGAGAGGTATTACCTCAAACCTGCTCTAGAAGGAGTAACTTATTCAGATAACTGAGGTATAGATCAAATGACCCCACTAAAGCCTACGCATAAGCTGCACTAAGAAAAGTTGAATTGATGTTTTGCAAGCTCTATAGAAACAAAATTGAAAACCAGCACTGTTTGGATAGCCACCGGGTAACTTGCTCTTTAGCCTGATCATGTCACAGCAAATTCACCAGTATGAGGAAAGCATTTGTTTCATCGCTGAGTAGTTTCCATGGCAGTGGGAAATGGCTTCCTGAGCAGCATGCAGTTACAGACTTGATGTGGTGTCTCTGCAGTTCTCAAGCACTTTGCCATGATTAATTCCAGTGGAGCCGGGTCTTAACAGGCACTTGTGTCAGGAATTGAACAAAAGCAGCACCTCTCCACAGGAATTACTCAGCATCTCACAAAACACAAGGCTATTATTTTTATGCCAAGAAATAGCTCCCCGACTTGAAGTCTTGCAAGCTCAGATTTTTTTTTTTAAATAAAAAAAAAAACCCTTAGCTCTTCACTATGTAAATTGCAGGTATTGGGCCCTTGTAATTGGATCCACAGTCTACGCTCGTAGCTATGGATCCTGTACAACAGAGGGGTAGAGCTGGACTTCAGAGATCCTCAAGATTTAGCATGCTGACCAGGAAAATGCCTCACCTAAGCCTTGCAAAGTCCTGTGAGTAGGAAGGGGTGTGAATCCCAACCAGCTCAACAACTTGGGCACTTCATTTTGCTCTCTCTCCAGCTAGGACTGTACCAAGGAAAGGAAACCACAGTTTCATTGGCCTCAAAACTGAATAGGGGTGACTGCTAAAGAAAGCAGTATCAGGAAGAGGATTTTCTGCCCTCCTTCCTAGTTTATATTGCAAGAGTTCACTTCTCCCAGAGGAAGGCCCTGTTTCCATTCCCTCCTCTGCCTGAGATGACCGAACTCTTGCTGTTGTAGGGACTTAAAGGCACATTCCCTATTTTCCTGGGATATTTTTGTCTTAAGGTTCTTTGTGAAATCTGGAGCCTTCAAGGGTTCGAAAACTGGAGCCTTCAAGGGTTCTCAAACTGAGCACCTTAAAGGAAAATGAAATAATGTAATTTTTTTTTAATAGTAGCAGATATTGGAGAAATATATCTATTTCTTACATTTCTAGGGAATGTGTGTGTATTTCATGTATAGTTTGTATCATGCTGATATAAAGGTCAGAGCTTATAGAATCAGCCTTGTCCGTGATGGGGGATATATTGGCAAATATTTACTTTGCATGGGAAACTGCAAGCTCTACTCTGTTCCGCAGCAGTAGGAAGTCTTGTATAACTGCTGGCATTCTTGAGAGGGGATTCCAAAACAACTTAGCATCCTGCCCAACAATGTAATGGGTACGTGGATGGAGGCTTGTTAGGGCATGCTCCATGCACTGAACAACAGGTGAAATGTCCTTGTTAAGACAGATCTCGGACAGCTTTTGCTTCTTTGCTGCATCTGTAAAGCTCAAAAAAAGAAGATCATTTAGTGACAGCCAGGCAAGGTGAGTTTTAACCCTTCTCCCCACACTGATCTGTGCAATTTCACTAGGGAATTGGTATCTTGTTTCTCCCTACACAAGAATTTGTAGCAGTTTCTGAGGACCAAGCCCCCATCCATAATGATCTTGTGATAGAGTTTACCCCCAGAACAGTCTAGTTCCCTTAATTGTGGAACAACTATGGCAAAACCAGGCCTGTATGGTCTGAGGACAGGCAACCAGCATTGACAGTAGCTCAGGATAAACATAACTATATAAGAGGCAAAGGGAAACAGAAATGCTGTACTTGTAAATGAGTCTCTTGTAGTAAGGAAATTGCTTTGTGGAAAGTTGTGAAATACAATTGTAAAGAAGAAATTTGAGGGACAAGAAAGTCCAAGGATCAAAAGACAAGCAGCCCCTGTTCAAGCAGGCTTAGCAAGCGTCTGTCAGACAGGAACTGAATGGCTGCTTCACCACTGGGGCTAGCAGAAGCAAAAGGAATTGATCTCTATTTGATTACTAAATAAATAAACAACAATGACAGAAAAACACATCGAGCACATTGATTGCATCATCAAATAAAAGTTTTTCTGTTTGGGAGTTTGCTCAAAAGCTTCATGCCAGCACGAATAATTAATCTTTAACTGAGATTTGGATAAAGCTTCCCAGAACAAGTCTTTTGTGCGGATAGTCATATTGTGATGCAGATGCATTTGAAGAGCAACTTTTCACATCACAGTCTTTCCAAAAAGTCAGAATTATTAGAAGATATAATGCTAGATATAATTAGAAGATATATGCTACTTTGCAAGGCTTTCTCAACAAGAAATGCATTGCTTCTTTTGACACAAATGTCTGGAAATTGCCTCACCTTTCTGAAAATACTCCTCTCCATATTGCTTTTTAATATCAGGGGGAAGCTTATTCCAAATAACCTCCTTCTCTTTCATAATCTTTGCTGGATTGGTTAACGGTGTTTTAAACAGTCCAGGTTGAATGCAAGAAACCTTAACTCCAAAAGCTTTCATATCTCTCCTGCAAAGACAGCCCAATGATTTAGTCACATTAGACATTATTATTAATACTGTCGGATCTTTTTCTGTATTAACACTTTTATTTCTGCCTTTACATGTGTCCTGGTTTCGGCTGGGATAGAGTTAATTTTCTTTCCAGTAGCTGGTATAGTGCTGTGTTTTGGATTTAGTATGAGAAGAATGTTGATAACACACTGATGTTTTTTAGTTGTTGCTAAGTACCCTGCTAGTCAAGGACTCTTCAGAGGCTGGGAGGGAGCATAGTCAGGACAGCTAACCCAACTGGCCAACAGGGTATTCCATACCGTATGACATCATGCTCAGTATATAAGGCTGGGGGAAGAAAAAGGAAGGGGGGAACATTTGGAGTGATGGCGTTTGTCTTCCCAAGTAACCGTTACGCGTGATGGAGCCCTGCTTTCCTGGAGATGGCTGAACACCTGCCTGCCGATAGGAAGTAGTGAATGAATTCCTTGTTTTGCTTTGCTTGCGTGCGCAGCTTTTGCTTTACCTATTAAACTGTCTTTATGTCAATCCACGGGTTTTCTCACTTTTACTCTTCTGATTCTCGCCCCCATCCCACTGGGGGAGGAGTGAGCAAGCGGCTGTGTGGTGCTTAGTTGCTGGCTGGGGTTAAACCATGACAACATGGCACACCAGCACACAAATACTGTGACATTTGTTCATGGTTGTGAATTTTCAGCTTGTTGTCCCTAAATGAAAGAGGAATGAACTATCTTACCTGCTTCACTGAGTGAGAACATGGCATGGGCAGTGACTGTGCGGTAGCTGGCATAGTGTATTTGACATCCTAGTTCACCTCGCAGTAGCTCATTAGTTATCTGACTTGTCTGTAAGACTGGCTGGCTGCCTAAATGCAAGGATGTAGAGCCATTTCACGTGTCTTAGGGAATCCCTCACAACCTCTGGTTGATGCTCCAGATTGGTACAGTTCCTTCTGTCCCCATCTCATATCTGTCAGCCCTGTGTGTGTGTCCCGGTATCTAAAATGGCACTATATGGTTAGGCGCACAAATCTCCCTGTCTGTGGTACAAGGAGAAGCCATGGTGGTCCCCAGGATTAGTTTGCTATGTTCTCTAGATCTCTCTAATGATCGGTATAATTAAGAGAAGACAGTTTGGAGAACAAAGCTTAGACAAAAGTTACTATCATGAAATAACTCATGGTATGTATTTTTTCTGGATGGGTGGCTGCTGGAAGTTTCTAGGTGCACTTTTCAATTAGGAGAATTAGGTTCATATTGCAAAGACATCTCAGTTCCCTTGAATGGAGCTTCCTCTGCAATAAGGCCTCTGTGCACACTAAGATAGGTTGGTTGTGAATCTGTAAGAGTACCAACTACACTGCAGTAATACTTGAGGACAGCTTGTGTGCCCAACAGGCTTTGTACCATTTCAAAAGTGGCATAAGTGTCTAATGTTTTTCAATTTTATACCAAGTGCCAGGATTGTAATTCCTCTCCTATTCTGCATGTGCCAGTTTTTAGTTAGTATATGAGCTTTAGGAAAAAAAAGAGTGGTCTTTCCTCATAGTGAGTGTTATACCTTAAGCTGTCATTAAATCCTTCTACCCCAAACTTTGAAGGAAAATAGCCTCCACCACTGAACGCTAGGCGACCTCCAACACTGGATACATTTACTATCCTTCCCTTTGCTTTTTTTATCAAGGGAAGCATATTTATTGTAACATTTATGAGTCCAATTAAATTAACTTCAATTGGTTCTCTAAAGTGCCTAATATCCAACCAGTCTGTAGGAGCCGGTGGCCCCATAATCCCAGC